AGTGAATTTAGTATTTTCTTCAACGGCTATCTAGGGGCACTCTTATTATCTCTTCAAGGCCTATTCGAGGTAATGCCAAGGCGGAAACACCGTACTTTGTACTTTAAAGTACTTTAAGGTACTTTGAAGTATTTTACTGTACTTTAAAGTACTTTAATGTACTTCAAATTACTTTATTGTGCTTTGATATACTTCAAGCTACTTTAAGATACTTCAATGTGCTTATACACATCAAGGTCTATCCACGAGTAGTCTTCATAACTCTTCAACGGCTATCTAGGGGTAGGGGGGGTTACCATTACCAAGTAACAAGTAACAGAAAGTTTGCGGTTCTTTCATTTTCATTTACGCGTCATTTGTTATTCCTTATCGAATACCTATCCTATAGAACTGCCCTTAGGGCCTCAAATCCTATGTTTCAGGAGGTACGTGTAGGTCTTCAAGTTCTACCTTATAGGGGAACCTTAGGTCCTTATACTCTATTGTATAGTGATACCCTTAGGTCCTCAAGTGCTATAGTACAGGTGTCCCTTAGGTCCTCAACAGCTATACTATAATGGTACCTTAGGTCCCCAAGGCCTATACTATAAGGGAATCCATAGGTTCTCACAAGCTATGCTATAGGGATATCCCTAGGTTCTCACAGTCAATAGTATAGAAATACCCTAAGGACCTCAAGTGCTATACTATAAGTGTACACATAGGTGCTCAAATGCTATACCATAAGGGAACCCTTAGCTCCTCAAGTGATACACTACAGGGATACCCTTATACCCTCAAGTGCTATATTATAAAGGTACCCTTAGGTCGTCAACAGCGGTACTATATGGATACCCTGAGGTCCACAAGGCATTTACTGTAACCTATAGTATAGCACTTGAGGACCTAGGATGTGGGTGTGGGTGTGGGTGTGGATATGTGGGTGTGGGTGTGGATATGTGGGTGTGGGTGTGGGTGTGGATGTAATTCCTACTTTACTTCTCACCTACCCACACCCACACCCACACCCACACACCCACACCCACCCACACCCATACCCCACACCCACACCCACACCCGCTCACACCCACATACCCACACCCACACCCCAGTGGCCACAATACGATACACATTACAAACTTGAAAGTTCAAAGTTCAAACTTGAAATTTCAATTGAATTCAAGTTTCAAGTTTGACACTACTGTGAAAAACAGAAATCAGTAACAAAATAAACACATCTATACAGAATCTAACAAAGTTGGAAACCATAAATGAGGCTGAGGGTTAGTGTGTGAGTCTAGCAACCGTAATCATGATTTCATCTCTGCTAAATAAATCATTAGATAGCTTCAATTTATGTGGGTGTGGGTCGGGTGTGGGTGAGTGGGTGGGTGTCGGTGTTGATGTGGATGAGTGGATGGGTGTCGGTGTGGTTGTTCGATGATTAAACACACCTGATACCAACACCCACATCCACACCCGACACCCACGTCCATTTTTCTAAAAATCGCCAAAATTGCGACGATTTTCACAACATGGTAAATTTCTACGATAGAATGAATAGGAATCGATAAAAAAATGGACACTTTTATTCAAATTAAGATAGATTATCATAGCAAGATGTATCTACGGGTGATGACTCATTCCTTTTTTATTTTTTGGACAGATTTATTAACGGTGGATTTGTGTTCAAACTAAAGATCATTAATTATTATTGTTAATTTATCTAATGACAATAAACAAAATACTTTCTGAATATGAGTCATTAATTTTCTTAAATCCAAATATTTTATTAAAGGCAATGATGATTCTATGGAGGAAAAAGCCAAGTTTTTATTTAATCAGTGCAAGGTCAAAATACCAAAAAAAATCTTTGAAACTGCATTAAAAGAAAAGAAAAGAAAAAAAAATCGACTCTCGAAGGCAAATGCATTTCGGTTACGCATGTTTATTGCACAATACAGTGATTTCACAATCATTCCACCATCTGGCTTTTTCCAAAATCAAATTTGATGTTATAAAAAAATGATCGCAACACATTTGATGCATAAAATCTTTTAGCGATGGGCATACCATACTTCACAACCTTCATTTTTGATTATCTCTTTTCAAAAAATAATCCATTTAAATCAATCAACTTAAATGGCAAGAACATTATTATCGATGGGTATTCACTGTTTTATTACATCTATTATATGGCAAAAGCGGAAGACAAAAACAAACCAATAACCGAACAGATAACAGCAACAAAGTTTGCATATGATGGTCTGTCGGAAAAATTCCGAAACGTTTTAAAACAATTTAAAGGTAAATGTGCATCTGTTGTCGTCGTATTTGATGGCATTTTTGAATCAAATAAACGTCGAAGACGTGATCCAAAACGAGAGAGTACTATCAGATTTGTTAACGGTCATAGCCGTCTACCACCTCTGTTGCATGAACAACTTATGACTATTATACATAAATTAGATATTGAGGTTCATGTTGCTACTGGTGAAGCCGATCCTATTATTGTTAAAATGGCACAAACTCGTGACGCATACATTGTTGCTCGTGACTCAGATTATTTTCTTTATCAAGACATAAAAGGTTATGTGCCACTTAATAAATTGACATTTCCAAAACTTCAAGGACAATATTATCATATGGCAGACGTCTTTCATACTATGACACAGCAAGGTGTAGCACTATGGGCAACGACTATTACTTATGATTTTATCAGTTTGGATGTTTTACAAGTAATTATGCATTTTTTTTCTAACAAGGAATAATACTTTAACTTTCTTTACTTTGAATTTTAGGAACAGTTTCCAATGAAACACTCAAAAGACAAGAAAATATTTAGTTGCTGGCTAGAAAGTTCGGAATCGGATAGTGAAAAACATAAAAGACTTACTTGCCAATATAATCTTCTTCGTTATATTCAACAAGTCGGAGATATCGAAGCATTTAGCAAAATTATCAAATTCGTTTCTGCAGATGATTTAGAAGAATTCGAACTATTGATAGGAAGTTACGTCAAAATCTCTTTACCAAAATTAAGATTAACACCAAATAAAAATCAAATTCTTCCATACCTAAATCAACTCTACACTGATGGCAAACTCGATCATGCAATCATTAATATTCTTGTTCGGAGGCAAATTCTATATCTTTGGAAAGGAGACAATCGAGTACATTTAGATTTACTGCTACCTATCTGTCATATGCTAGTCAAATGGGATCATCAGACGTCAAACGATACAAATTATCCTCCGACAGTAATATTCAATGGAAAAACTTACAATCCACTTGAGCTCGTTGAATCTGATGATCTACCAACACTTGATCGATTTATGGACCTCAGTTCAAGCAAAAGAAAACGTTTTGTTTTGGGTTGTGTTGATTTTGCTCTTCGACCTAAAGAACGTCTCAATTGGCATGGTGTTCATCGAGATTACAGAATTTGCTTTTCTCTTTGGAGACTTTGGTTACATACAAAAACAACAAAAACAAATACGTCCAAAGCGACTCTATTGGCCTTGATTATTTCATTTCTAAAACACTCTCTTCTTGATACATATGATGAAAAAGAAGGTGAGTATTTCAACCTGAATATTTATGATAATAAAACATCTCTTTTATCTACATTTCAGAAAGATCACCACGAAGCAAAGACTTACCTGTAAAACCTTACCGTCAGTATTCACAGAAAAAATTGAAAAGTTACTTTTCATTAGACAAATGTTCGAATTTACGAGATACAATAAAAAAATTTACAGAAATTGTTTTGTCAAATAATGAAATTGAAAACAATATCGAAGAATGTCAACAATTCTATAAAGAATTGTTAATGATCAATCAATTCTCTGGACAACCACTTTATATATCACCACCACATTTCTTCTTTAGTCAACTCACCTATCCATTAGCTGTTCGCTTAAGTCAATCAAAAGATATTTGGAAAGATATTACAAATTTCTGCTCAAAAAATGAACTTCTGGTTGGATTTATCAAAGAACTTTATGCGACAATTTTGTAGAAATTATCTGAGTTTTTAGACTTGTTTATTTATCTCCTCATGTATGTA